GCTCAGCAATCAAAATGGGTAAGTTTCCATTCATTTCGTTTACAATTTTGATTTTAAAAATGAAGTGAACCCAAATGGGTATAATCTCAAACAATTTCCAGATTCTTCTTAATCAAGTTTTCGTCTTCCTCGGTTTCTCTGAGTTGCTGAACTAAGATTGATTGAATAAAAATTGGATTTTTTAGTTAATTGGTGGCGATTTCTTGTGACTTTATTATGTGTTTGGTGACAGATGAAGAGGAAGCGATGCTGGTAAAGGAAGAAGGAGAAGGAAGTATCGTGGTGGTCCTTCCTCAACTCATGAAGTTAAAACGAAGCCAATGGTGGATTCTTGTCTTTATCAGCATCTTCTTCCTCATCTCTGCTCAAGCTGTTGCTGTTCTTCTCGGTAGGTTTTACTACGACAAAGGAGGAAACAGTAAATGGATCTCCTCTCTTGTCCAAACCGCTGGTTTTCCGATTCTCTATCTCCCTCTTTGTCTCCTTCCTCCTTCTTCTTCTCTTTCTTCCCTCAAAACTCTGGTTTCGATCTATGTCTCTCTTGGTCTCGCCATTGGTTTAGACAATCTTTTATACTCTTTAGGGCTTTTGTACCTCTCTGCTTCTACTTACTCGCTTATATCCGCAACACAGTTAGTCTTCAATGCTGTCTTCTCTTATCGCATCAACTCTCAGAAAATTACGGGTTTGATTATTATCTCAGTGTCACTTCTTTCTTTCTCTGCTGGGTTGATAGCTCTTGACGATGATTCGGACAGTCCATCAGGAGACTCTAAGTTGAAGTACATGATTGGTTTTTTGTGTACACTTTTTGCTTCTCTTATCTATTCTCTTCAGCTCTCTCTTATGCAGTATTCCTTTGAGAAGATTCTCAAGAGCGAGACGTTCTCTATGGTTCTCGAAATGCAAATCTACACATCTCTTGTTGCTTCTTGTGTCTCTGTCATCGGGCTTTTCGCCAGCGGGGAATGGAAGATGTTGAGTCTGGAGATGGAAGAGTTTCAAGAGGGTCAAGTCTTCTATGTCTTGACTCTGGTTGGAACGGCGATATCGTGGCAATTGGGTTCTGTAGGAGCCGTTGCGCTTATATTTCTTGCGTCTTCGCTGTTTTCAAACCTTATTGGTACGCTCTCTCTAATAGTTACGCCTCTTGCAGCCCTTGTGGTGTTCCACGACAAGCTGACTGCGGTTAAGATGGTCGCAATGCCCATGGCCTTCTTGGGATTTGCTTTTTATATCTACCAGAACTACCTTGATGACTTGAAAGTACAAAGCGCACGAGAAACTCAGGATGATTGATGCTGCAATTTGTTCTATTAGTTTTGATAATCACTCTTGGAACATGTAACTAATGCTGCTGTATTGTATATGCTTTAGCTCTTAATGCGGATATCAAGGTCTCCAAACTATCGCAGTGTTATACTAACATATTTGTTGGATTGATCTAATCATATATATGGTTAGCAGAAGTTTCATAATCCATCTGAAAAGTGTGTAGAACATCTCTTCATGACACTCTTCTCTTTCGTTTTATATGGGTTTATGTGTTGGATGTGATGATTTAAAGCTTAGAAATGAGTCTCTTGATAAGGGGCTTTCTTTTCTTTAATTTCCCATCGAATGAAAAACAAAAATATGGACTAGGGTAGTAAGCAAGTGACTCAATCCAGTCGGGTGTGCAGAGCCGGCCTTGAATTTGATAAGACCGCAAAGCTATAAAAAAAAATGTTGGTTTGCATATTTTCAGTTTAAAAATGAAGACTTAGAGCACCGGTCTTTGATTTTTAGAAAGCCACAACTCCATACTTGGTCTGTTTGGACTTAGGACCGGCTTTGCAGGTCTGTTTGGTCTTGCTTGTAGATCCTATGGGCGAAATGTAGCTTGTTGGAAAAGGTGATCCATATGGTTCCTTTCTCTTATTTAAGTACGGGTGCTCATCGGAAAGGGTTCCATATTTGAAGACTTGTGATTAGCATCTTTTTGCACTAAATGCCATCACCTAGCTAAATTGTACAAGCAATTTGCAAGTAAACTTTTGAACCAACTAAATAAAAAAGTTAGTATTAAAAGAGCAGAATAGTCGAGTATTCCGTTTTTGCTCACATGTTAAGATCAGATCTCTATTACAGAACATAAA